CAATCTTTCATAATGGATCAGAAATACAGAAAGAATCAGGAACAGATAGATGACTACTGTGTTTGGCCATATTGAGAAGATGATATCCTGATGATGTGACTCAAATTATCTTTCCTGGTCACTATACACACCTCTAAAGCTAGAATCATTACCTTTTCTGGTACCTATATACTAAGCCTTCCTCAGTCAGCCTATCACAAAAAGAATCCTCCATAAGATTATAAGTGCAAAATGAGGGAAAGACACTGGTTCAGCAGTGATGAATGTCATGGAAGATCTTCTCTACGTGATCGTGCCATTGCTGTGCTCTCCAGTACTGCTTGTGTTTGATCCTCTATGTAAAACTTCTCCCTGGTTTCTGGACCTGCTCAATCTTACCAAGGCTACTTGAAGTTGGACCATAGAGTGTTGTTCTGCTCTAGGGCCCACTCAAAGGGACAAGTTTGTGTGTCACCAAGTATATGAGTCGAAAACTAAGTTAAATACACTGCTTCTAGAGCCCAAAGAGGCCTATCAGGCATTAAGTATCTGTCTTTATTAGTTTGACCTTTATTTTAGAAGGGATCCATGACATTCCCCGCATCATTCAAGCCACTTAATGTGGCCATCCTCTAGATCTTTGTAGGGTTTGCCTCCCTTCCTCTGTACTGTTTGTGTCTTACCAAGGTATCCAATGTGTTATTCCTTGTAAAGCATGTTTACATGGTCCAGATTCTCCAGACTGTATTATAATAGAAGAAATAAGAGTTAATAGAGCTTTGAAGCAAAACTTTAAGTGCACACTGCTGCCCATTCTATATGAATGTGAAATTTTTCTGATGTTCCATTCTGATAAGAATAGGAAAACAAGCACAAAAGAGCTGAATACTAAGTACATAAGGCAATACTAATCTGCTTTAACAAAGATACTATATCTGGCATGGCTATTGCAATAGTGTGCTATTAACCACCAGCACTACCTACATTTTCCAGGCTAAACTGATGAACTAAATAAAAATATGAGACCATATCTTTACATTCTCTGTTTTCAAGGTAGCACTAATTTCTACCACCCTCTCCCCAGGATGTTATATGATTTCATTCACTATCTTGACCAAGGAATAGGTAGTGTAGTTTCAGAAGAATTCATTTAGCTTTCTCATCTACAAATAGTTCTGATTGCACAGGCCAACTACAATGGTACTACAAGAAACGACTAGGCATATTTACACATTTAGAGACTAGAAAAATAACAACTTGATGGGGCTGTGGACCCAGTAGATTCACTGTGAGCCAAATCTGAAACAGGATAATACCTGGCTCCCATAACCTCATTTAGACCTGGGTAGCCATGATGACATTTTAGATCCCTGAGTATCATTATCAGTTTAGAACTAGTGTCAATCTGTCCTCAAAAATTTGGGTTAAATCAGGCACCAGCAGCTCATGCCTGTAATACCATGTACTCAGGAGGATGAGATCTGAGGATCATGGGTTGGAGCCAGCCCAGGCAAGAAAGTCTGTAAAACTCTTATCTTCAATAAACTACTGAGAAAAAGCCAGAAGTGGCATTGTGGCTCAAGTAGTAGAGCACTAGCATTGAGCACAAAGAGGCTCAGGGACAGCACCCAGGCCCTGAGTTCAAGCCCCATGACTTGGCATACAGTTTCCTGAATCCATGGAAGGACTAGAGAATGCACCACTATACATTGTGGGAGTACTTCCTCTTAAGTACCCAAACACTCCTTCAGTGTTCTTCGAATCAAAAACTGATTTGAGACCAGACACTGGGCAAGGGATTACAACTTTCTGCAGACTCCTAACCAACCACTTTTGGTATCTTTTGAGTGCATGGGTTAATTGCAGATTGTTAACTGCCTATTTTTTTCCAGGGCATTGTGCATATTAGGTTGTCTATGCATTATTAACAGCTTTTAACTATCCATACACCTGATACACTATGTTCTATTAGTCATCTCTGTAGGTATTTGAAAGTTAGACCTCTCCACTTAACATGCTGACCCTGTGGTGTATTTGTATCCACATCACTTCTGAAATTAAGTACAGCCATCCTATCTTTATTGTTTAGGCCCTCATCACCATTTCTAACATGAATCCTCCTTCTATAACATCCTCAATTACTACTTCAAGCACTAGCCTACAGAGGAACACCATCATTGAACTTCTTAGCGATCCTGTTGCTCCTCTACCAGCACATTCCTCACAGCTTTGGTAAATAGTATGTCCTTGGGGATCTTTTATAGCATACAGTCTTCTAGAGGACTTTCTGATGTACATAATATATTCATTCTATCATTCTCTGCTTTTACCATTTGTCACCACAGCCTCATTTTATGGGGTGGGGTATTTTTCCCCATACTTTGAGGAATCATTCTCATAGTGAGTTCACGTCATCTGACGGAATCTTTGTCAGGATGTTAAATCTTGTACCCTGGGAAAGCACTCTCAAATGGATTCCATGTTCCTGTACCTCATTTTATATTCTAGCCCCTCAAAATCAAGCTACTTAAATTGCAGCTCCCTCAACACCTGTAGCACTTTGCCAATCTATTCTTTTGTTTCTTATTATAGCCAGTATGTTTCCAGCTATGTTATACTCGTATGTTATACTGTCTCCTAGATACAGACCCAATGGCCAGGATAGGAGGTAAAGACAGCTTCCAAGGGAAATCCATGTTATGTTTCAGGAGAAAGAGGAGTAAAACATTTTTCAGGAGAATCTAGGAATGGAAGGTTTTCAGGAATATAAATCAAGAGATCCTTGGCACAGAAGATTTGTCTTGGTTAAGATTTTAACTTTCTTTGAAGCAATATATCTTGTCTGCTCCTTGGATTTCTCTTCTCTACATGAAAAAAAAATGAAAGCCTCTTTATATTCTTTAAACAAATGCCTCAGGTTTTCAAATGTAGCTTTTACTAGTTGATTACTACCTTTTTTATTACTTTTTATAGAGGTTAATCAAGCTTAGCAATAACTACTCAAATTTTCTGGTCTTCCTTACCTTTGATATGTCCCATGTATTTCTCGTAAGTTCTATATATGACGTTAGACAATGCATTCAATCTGCCACAAGTATGCCACCCCACTACACCACCAGCAAAGGCTCTTAATGAGTTCTCTGCCACCTCATTCCATGAGCCTACCTACTCCACCTACCACCAATGATTGGATGCTCATTGACAACTGGTCAGCAGGTGATCCATCTCCAAAATTTCATCAGAATGTTTGTTTCTTGAACAGCTTCTTGTACCGATTCTTGCAGGTTGGCTTTCCAAGGAGGAGACTCAGAAACAGAGATCAGCATGAAGGGCTTTTATTAGGGAATACCCTTTGAGAGAAACACCTGTGGAAGGGAAAAGAAGGAAGCAGGATTGGACAGAGGGAGAAGTTAAGTTGTCCCAGTTTGGGACAAGAAGGTTATGGCCATCCATAACTGGACATAACTGGAAGAGAGAGTATGACCTTGGAGGAGGTAGCTGTCTTCAACTGAAGCAATTTCTGAAGAGGTGACAGTTGAGAGCTATCACCAGAAGCACTTGTAGCAAATTAAACAAGTTCTCTATTCCTGATGAGAGATCAGGGAAGCAGTTGGCAGAATCTACTATAGTATTCTTTTGCAATAAAAATTTGTGTGCAAAGCCAAGTACTGCCAAATAAATTTATACAAATATATTACATGCTTTTACAGCCTATTTTTCTACTTAAATTTATATTCTCGATTTTTGCATAATAAATACAGATGTCCATCGACATGTTAAGTGGCTGCAGAATATTTCGATGTACAAATATACCTTAATTTATTTAAGCAATTGCCTATTCTCAGTCATGGGTCATTTGTACATTGGCATCCTTCTATACAATTTGAAGATTTGCAGCTTTTTACAAGTCTATTGTTTAATTAGTTCACAAGAACAGATTTCTACAAGTAGAATTATTGGGTAAAGGCATGAGCATCTTGAAGACTTGTGAAACATGTTTCAATGGGCCTTGTACTTTGTGTGCTCAGTTTGAGTTCTCCTCCCCTAATCCCTTACCAAAACTATGAAGTAGGCAAGGAGTGGACTTTTTCCTTTATGGATCCTAACAGCACTATCAATGGTTTCATAAAAGCCCCACCCCCAATCACCTTACAAAAATGTGATACAAGTACTAAAATGGATTCTTCTTTCATCAATGTTTCCTTCTTATTTCAAAACAACTCTCTCATTCTTTTACAAAGATACCAGAGTTGGCCAGAAAAGAAAATATGTTCAAGGTTCTCAGGATCCTAAAATAAAATTGGCCATCTCTGTATGTCCTAAAGCGCCAATTCATTCAAGAATCTCTTGATCCCATCCAACCATTACCATCCCTGTGACCACTAGTGAAATTTCATGCCTTAATCATCTTTTTCTTGATTATGGTAGTAACTTCCTAGCTGCTTTTCCAATCTTCAGTCACCTTTATTGTCCTTGCCCTAACTTAGACCCATTCTGCACATAAACGAATTATATTGTTTTCCTTTCACCCTGTCATTCCTCTAGTTATAAAATTCCTTGTTGTCTTCCTAGGGTAGATGGCACAACAATCATATAACCTATTATAGCAATAAGGAATGGTCCATGGATAGAATTCATATCAACTTGCCAATTCTATATCCTTACTTGTCTCCCGAAACTTTCCATTGCAGGCAGCCAGCCAGCCTCTTCTACAGAGCATGCTTCCCATCTCTATGTCTTTCTTATACTGCACCTCCTCCCTCCTTAGGTGTCCTTTTGATCTTTTGTATATTATTCTCAAACCTTGCTTACTTAAATTCCCCTTCCTCTGTAAAACTTCTCCTGTGCACTGTTGTATACAGCAGCTTCTGCTGCCTCTCAGCACTGATGGAAAGCATCTACTTGACCCATGAGTGACCGCAGGCTCCTGATTTTGTTACTTTCTGTTCCCACATGTCTTATCTTTCCAAACAGATCATAAATCCAAAAGACAAAGACAATGTCTTTTTTTTCTGCTTAAAACACACAACTTTATTGATGACATAAAAATAAAGTCTCAAATGTATAAACATAAGTCCACACAAAGGACTAAAATTACCTTACTTATGAAGAATCAGTTCAGTTTCTGCTCATGAAGCATACTAAAAATATCTCAAGCCAGACAAGATAAAAATTTACACATATATTTCCAGTACAAGTTTGAATTCATTTGTTGTTCATAAAAATGGTCCAGCTATAGACCCTCATAGTCACATCAGTTTTACAATGAAATTTACAATGTGTATTGCTTCCAGACTACAAAACCAAAACGTTACTCAAATTTGGGAATATACAGCCAATCAGAGTTTATTTATTAATATCTCAACTTTTTCTTTCACCTCTGGATCACTGCATTCTGCTGCTAAGGCTCGAAGTTTCTTGGCACAGGCTTTAGGTCGTTGGAATAGGAAATAAAGAGAATTTTTACTGAACTTGTCCTGGGTAAATACTTTTGCTCTTCTTTTAAAATGGTGATTTATATTTTCAAATAGTGAAAGAGCATTAAGAATGTTCTCTTTTGTCTCCTTCTTACTGAAAATGTTAATAAGGGCTGTTGGTGCATTGGCAATGAGCAAATCTTTTGTCATCGATGGATTTTTAGAGAAATTCACAAGCATTCCCAAAACATGGTCTTTAGTTTCTCCACTTCCAACAGTTAACAAACGAAGAAATTCTGAAATATAATTTGTAACCATATGCTGATATTCACTAGTAATAGTCAGATGCCTTATTAATCTCAGTCCAGCCACCTGCACATTGGAATTCAATGGATAGGTGACAGTATCTTCACATACTTGGCTTAAGTATGTTTTAACCTTTCTGTGGTTTTCAGCAGCCACTGAGATGTTATTCAGTGCATTTAAAGCCTTCTGTCTAACACTGGGATAAGGATTACTCAACAAACTCTCAATAACTGAGATTCCACCTACATTGCGAACAATGTCGTGAGAATAAGGATAATCAACATTGTTATACAGAGCATTGTTGGCTATCTCATGAACAGAAGGATCTTCAGTCATCTCGATCATGCAAATCAGTTTTTCAAGATCTTGTGGATCTATATTGGTTTCACGTTTACAGCGGCAGGACCAGGCCCGCGTTTTATCCCCATGCTTCATCTGTTTTTTGCACTCATGTTTACCTAGAAAGGTGGCCTCAGTTTGTTGTAGAAACTTTGCTTGTGAACAGACCATGGCTCCATCCCATAATCCCATTCCTGCCCCAGGAACCATGGATGGATATGTGCCTCTTGACTCAGCTGACTTGGCTTTATCCTTAGCTGTAGATTTGTTTTCACTTCTGTTTTCATTACCAGTGCAGAACCAAGAAGTTATATCTACTCCATAACCAGCCTCAAACTGTTCTTTAATGCTGTCCTTATCTCCAGTCCAAGATTCAGAATTGACATCTTTTTCACTCTTGGAGCTGAGCTCATTGCTGTTTTCACCGTCAGCCCAAAACAAAGACCTTAAACTGATCTCTTCAATATCAGGGCTGGATGTTCCACTTAGCTCATCCTCATCTACATTCCTAGCCATCCTCATCCAAAATCCTAATCCAGACTGTTTCTCAGCCCCAAGCCTAGACTCTTTAGTGGTCAAATCTTCATCCCAGAGACAAGATCCCATCCTAGCTTCAGCACCAGCTTGTTCCTCAGCCCCAAGACAGGACTCTTTGGTGGTCAAATCTACATCCCAGAGACAAGACCCTGTCCTGGTCTCAGCTCTAGTCTCTTTCTCGGCTCCAAACCTAGGCCCTTTGGTGGTCAGATCTGCATCCCAGAGACAAGACCCCATACTAGCCTCAGCTCCAGCCTCCTTCTCAGATCCCAACGTAGACCCTTTGGTGCTCAAATCCATATCCCAGAGACAAGACCCCATCCTGGCCTCAGCACCAGCTTCTTCCTCAACAACAGGCCTAGACCCTTTGGTGGTCAGATCTACATCCCAGAGACAAGATCCCATCCTGGCCTCAGTATCAGCCACTTCCTCAGTCCCACACTTAGAACCTTTATTGGTCATGTCTACATCCCAAAGACAAGATCCTGTCTTGGCCTCAGCACCAGCCTCTTCCTCAGTATCAACACTAGAATTTTTAGTGGTCAAATCCACATCCCAAAGACGAGATCCCATTTTGGCCTCAGCATCAAACTCTTTCTCAGACCCAAGACCAGAACCTTTATTGGCCATATCTACATCCCAGAGACAAGATCCCACCTTGGTCTCAGCACCAGCCTCTTCTTCAGTCTCAAGCCTAGACCCTTTGGTGGTCAGATCTACATCCCAGAGACAAGATCCCATCCTGGCCTCTGCACCAGCGACTTCCTCACTCACAAGTCCAGACCCTTTATTGGTCATATCTACATCCCAGAGACGAGATCCCGTCCTATTTTCAGCACCAGCCTCTTCCGCAGTCTCAGGCCTAGACTCTTTAGTGGTCAAATCCACATCCCAGAGACAAGATCCTTTCCTTGCCTTAGCACCAGCCTGTTCCTCAGCCCCAAGTCCAGAACTTTTGGAGGTTAAATCCACATCCCAGAGACAAGATCCTGGCCTGGCCTCAGCACCAGCCTCTTGCTCAGGCTCAAGCCTAGACCCCTTAGAGGTCAAATCCACATCCCAAAGACAAGATCCCTTCCTAGCCTCGGCTCTAGTCTCTTCCTTAGTTTCACGCCTAGAGTCTTTGGTGGTCAAATCCACATCCCAGAGACAAGATCCCATCCTAGCAGCACCAGTTCCTCCTTCAGCTCCAAACTTACATCCTGTAGTGGTCACAAGTCTATCTAAGGACCAAGATCCCATCTTGGCCTCAGTGCCAGCCTTTTCCTCAGTGTCAAGCCTGGGTTTTTTAATGGCCAAATCCACATCCCATAGACAAGATCCCATGCTGGACATAGTACAAGCCGGTTCCTCAATCTCAAGCCTAGGTTTTTTAATGGCCAAGTGCATATCGCAGAAACAACATTCCATCCTGGCCTCAGTACCAGATTGTTCTTCAATCTCAAGCCTAGATCTCTTAGCACTCAAATCCACATCCCAGAGACAAGATTCCTTCCTGGTGTCAATACCAGCCTCTTCCTTAGCTCCAGGCCTAAACCCTTTAGGGGTCTTTTCTCCAACCAAGGGCCAAGATCCCATCCTAGCCTCAGCACCAGCCTCTTGTACATTCCAGAACCAAGATCCCAACCGGGCCTTAGTGCCAGCCTCTTCCTTGGTTTCAAATCTAGACCTAATAGTACTCAGATCTGAATTCCAGGACCAAGACCCCATCCTGGTCACAGTCTCAGCCTCAACCCCAGCCTTAGCTGCAGCCTCAGGTCCAGCCTCTACTGCAGCCTCAGCTACAATCTCAGTCTCAGCAACAGCTGTAACTTCAGCCCCAGCCTCTGCCACTTCAGCCTCTGTCACAGCTTCAACCTTAGCCTGAGCCACAGCCTCAGCTCCAGCCTTAGATGCAGCCACAGTTCCAGCTTCAATCACAGTTTTAGTTCCAGCCTGAGCTGCTGCAGCCCCCAAACAAGCACCCATATAAGCTGCCCCTGAAGATCTTATCCAAGACCCAGTAGTGGCCTTGTTCTCATCACCCAACCCAGAACTAATGCTGGTCACTTGCTCAGTCCCTGATGTGGATTGAATAGTGGCTCCATTCTTACCAACAGGCATGGGAACAATAGTAGAGTTTTGCCCTGTCCAGCACCAAGCCCCTACAAAGGCTTCACTTCCAGGCCCAAACCAGAATCCTTCATTAGCCTCTACCTCAGCACTGACTAAGAATCTTCCACTGGCCTGGTCCTCATGGCTCAGTCTAGAAGCTCCACAGGCTTCATTGCCAGACCTAGGCCCAACCCAGGATTCTTCACTAGTCTGGTTCCCAACACCAGTCCAGGAACCGCCTCTGCAGGCCTGACCATCAAATCCAGGTTTGGAACAGCCACCAGTCTGTTCTCCATGCCCAACCCAGGGCCCTCCACTGACCTGACTCCCAACGGTAGTCCAGGACCCACCACTTGACTGGTCTGTGGGGCATGGTCTACTCAATCCAATGACATGGCCACCAGTTGCACCCCAGGAAACTCCTGCACTGGACTGATCCTCCCTTGGCCTGGACACTCCACTAGCCTGGTCCCCAGCACCAGACCAGAACCCACCTCCAATGGCCTGACCATCAAATCCAGGTTTGGAAGAGCTACCAGCCTGATCTCCGGGCCCAATCCAGGCCCCTCCACTGATCTGATTTCCAGTGGCAACCCAGGACCCACTAGACTGGTTTATGGGCCCTGGAGTGGACCCTCCAACACCGTGACCACCAGACCCACTCCAAGACCCTCCTCCACTGGTCTGATTCCCTGTATAAGCACAGAACCATCCACTGCCCTGGTTTCCAGTGCCATGCCAAGAATTTCCACTGGACTGGTCCCTGGTTCCCAGCCCAGATTCTCTACCAGACTGGTTCCCAGCATCAGTCCAGCATCTTCCTCCACTGGACTGGTTCTCAAATAATGGCTTTGTTCCACCACTAGCCAGGTCACCAGACCCAGCCTGGGACTCTCCATTGACCTGGCCCACAGACAAGAACCCTCCACTGATTTGACCACCAGAATCTGCCCAGGATCTTCCATTAGACTGATTCTCAGTTCCAGACTTGGGTACTCCATCAGCTTGGCCACTAGCTCCAGTCCAAGTCCCTCCATTGCTGTCCAGATTCTCAAAACTAGACTTTGATCCACCATCAGACTGATCACTAGTCCCAGTCCATGATCCTCCTCCAGCTAGGTTTCTAGTTCCAGCCCAGGACCCACCACTGGCCTGGTCTGCAGACCCTGACATAGGTCCTCCACTAGCCTGGTCCCCAGTGCCAGCCCAGGATCCACTACTAGACTGGTTTACACTTCCAAGTAAGGACCCTCCACTGGCTTGGTCTACAGTTCCAGTCCAAGACCTTCCACTTGACTGGTCCTCAGGTCCCAACCTAGACCCTCCACTGGCCTGGCCACTAGTGCCATCCCAGGATACTTTTTGGCCAGCTTGATCCTCATATCTGGGTTTGGTCTCACCACAAGACTGATCACTAACCCCCACCCAGGCTGCTCCAGTAGTCTGGTCCACAGCTCCAGTCCAGTACCCAATACTAACTATATTTCCAGCTCCAGTCCAGGACACTGCAGCAGCCTGGTTCTCTGCCACAGTCCAAGTCCCAGTAGCCTGGTCCAGAACCCAAGACACTCCAGTGGCTTGAACTCCAGGCCAAGACCCATCACTAACTTGACTCACAGCCCAGGGCCCTGTAATTGCCTGATTCCCAGAAACAACCCAAGTGCCCCCACTGGCCTGATTCACAGCCCCAGGCCAGGAAACTCCACTGGTTCTGTCCCCAGCCCATGCCCCCTCAGTAGCTTGAGCACCAGCCCAGAGCCCTCCACTAGCCTGGTCTCCAGCTCCCACCCAGGACCCAAGAGGAACCTCATTTTCAGTTCTGGCTCCAGTCCAAGACTTAATACTGGTCTCATCACAAGCCACAGCCCAGGAACTAACAACACCAGTTTTATCACCAGTCCCACTCCAGGACCCAATACTGGCTTCATTCTCTTCATCAGCCCAAGATACACTGTTCTCCCAGTCTCCATCAATGGTCTGAAACCTAAATTTAATCCACCGTTCAGCAGCAATCCAATCTTCAACACCAATCCCATTCCAGTAGTAGTCATGAATGTTAGGTTGAGTCCTCCCACACATCTGTGCACCTGTCCCACTCTCACTTTCAGAAGTGGGCACAACCTCAGCCTCAGGCCTTGCATAAGCTACATTTTCTGCTGTGGCAGCTGCTACAGAATTGGACGGAGCTTTGTCCCTTGCCCCAAGTAAGGCCTCATCCTGGGAACTGGCCACAGCTTGAGACTGAGCAGAGCCTCTTGTGCCTGACCTGGATCCTGCTTTAGGCACAACATTGGGATTGGCCCTGACTTTATTTCTGGCACCAAGCAAGATCCCAGCCTGGGTACTGGCCCCAGCGTGAGGCTGAGTAGAGCCCACCATACCTGCCCCAGCCTCTGACTTAGGCACAGCATTGGTATTGCCCCTGACCTTATTTCTGGCACCAAGCAAGTTCTCACCATGGGAAGTGGTCATAGCCTGAGGTTTGTTAGAGTCCATTGTCTCTGTTCCAGGCTCTACTTTAGACATAGCATTGGAATTTCCTCTGATCTTACTCTTGGCACCAGATAATGTCTCACTCTGGGACTTGGTCACAGCTTTAGGATGAGCAGTGACCATTCCTGCCCCAGATTCTGACTTAGACAAAGCATTGGAATTGCCCTTGACCTTCGACTTTGCACCAGTCAAAGCTGTGCCCTGGGAAATGGCCATAGCCTGGGAATAGGTAGAGCCTGTTGTACCCACCCCAGGCTCTGACTTAACCATAGCATTACCCTTAACCTTATTTTTGGCACCAGATAAGGCCTCACCCTGAGAATTGGGTAGAATCTGGGGCTGGACAGAGCCCCCTGATTCTGGCCCAGCTCCTGACTTGGGCACAGCATTGCGATTGCCCCTAACTTTACTCTTGGCTCCAGTCAAGATGTCACTCTTAGAAGTGACCACAATCTGGTGATAGGCAGAGCTTGTTGTAGCTGCCTCTGCCTCTGTCTTAGGCAAAGCATTAAGATTGCTCTTAACCTTATTCCTGGTACCAGACAAGGCCTCATTCTGAGAGCTGCTCATAGCTTGGGGATGACCATAGGCCCTCTGGTCTGCCTTAGCCCCGATTCTAGAAATAGCATTAGAATCAACTCTACCATCAACCCTGGAATCAGACAAGGCCTCGGCTTGAGTCTTGGCCCCAGGCTGAGGCTGGACACAGGGTTTTATGTCTGTTCCAGCCACTGTCTTACACTTGGCTTTGGCTTTGCCCTTAGCCTTAGCTTTAGTGTTAGGTAAGGCTTCACTAGGGCTCTGGCCCAAAGCCTGAGTGCCTTCTTTAGACATGGCACTGACATTGTCCTTAGCCTTGATTGTGTTGTCAAGCAAGGCATCATCCAGAACATTGGTCACAGGCTGAGGCCAAGTACAAGACAATATGTCTATCCCAGCCCCTGCCTTAGCCATGACATTGGAATTGCTTCTGGTGTTATCCCTGGTATCAGGCAAGGCCTCAGCATGTGAATTGACTCTCAGATTTGTCCTGGCCTCTGCTGTAGCCATGACATTAGAATTGCCTCTACCTTTAACCCAGGCATTAGGCATTGCTGCAACCTGAGCACCAATTACACCTTGAGACTGGGCAGCAGCTCTTATGTCAGGTCCAGTCATTGCCTTAGCTATGCCATTGGTATTTCCTTTGTCATTAGGCCTGGTGCCAGATGTTTCCAAAGTCTGTTTCTTTGCCACAGTCTGAGGTTGTATTATACAGGTTCTTGTGCTTGCTCCTGCCTCTGCCTTACACATGGCATGAACATTACTCCCCGTATCAACCTCAGCAACAGACATGCCATCATTTTGGATCTTAGGTACAGCCTGAGACTGTACACTGTACTTCACATCCAATCCAGCCACTGCCCTGGTCATGTTATTGGGATTTTCCTTAGCATCAAATGTGACACCAGGCCTAGCATTAGGCTGAGTCTTAACCACACTCACAGACTCTTCCAGGGATCTTGACTTGGTTTCAGCCACAATTGCAGTCTTGTTCATGGTCTCGATTTTGACCACTTCCCTGGTCACTGTCAAGACCTCACTCTGTGTTACCATCACTCGATTAATCTCTGTCTCTTTTTCAGCCAATGTACGAGCTTCAGCTTTCGTCTGGGTCATTGCTTCTTTCTTGGCCTCTGCTTTAGCAACCAGTGCCCAAGCTTTTGCCTTGGTCTGGGTCACTGCCTCTTTCTTGCCTACTCCCTTAGCCTCAGTATCAGTTTGCGTCACTGCCTCTTTCATGGCCACTTCCTGGGCTTTGACCTCAGTCAAAGACACTGCCTCAGTCTCCACCAATGTTCCAGACACTGAGTTGGCCTCAGATTGAATCTCTCTCTCTGCCTCAGTCATTGACTTGGCCTGAGAGCTGGCTTTAGGTCTGGCTATAACAGTGACCTTAGTCTCTACTTCAGCTCTGGGCCCACTTCCTGCTCCAGTTTCGGCCTTGGGTCTAATCTCAATCTCTGACCCAGCCATGGCTTCATCCTTGGCCAAGGTCTGGCTCTGTACCCCAACCACAGTCTCCATCTTGACTTGGGACCCATTTCTGGCAGGTCTCCTCACACTCTGAGCTCTTCCCTTTGTTAATCTGTAAATGTAGTAGCAGGTGCCAGCCCAAATCACCAGTCCTGCAGTTGCCCAGCCCACTTCCTGTACACGGCCCATGTAATTACCCCTGCAGAAGGCACGAACAAAGTACAAGGGGGCTCACTTGGGCTGGGGAAAGAGGGTGATAGATCTGGGTGTAGGCCTGTGAGGGTGCTGGTCTTCAGCCACTCAAAGGCCACTACAGCTGCCACTGGAGGTAGACCTAGAAGTGGAGGAAGGAAATGAACTAAAATTTCTCATCTAATTCTACCACACCATACAGATAGATACACAGAGGAACAAGAAAGGGTGAAAGTTATGTGGTTGGGAGAAGAGGATGATTCGCAAACTTCCCATTCCTTCATTCACCTTTTCCACTTTCCCCAATGCCCAGCAATTTTCCATCAGGGTACTTCCATACTCCAAATGAACAGCAGGAAAGATGGTAGGAAGGCTAATGATGAATAGAAGAGGCAGAGAAGCCTTCAGACCTACATTTTGCCAGACTTACTCTGGTCACCATTCCCACAGGTTCCCATTGTCATACCAACCTGTAACAATCCAAGAAAGTTCTTTCTTCTTTCCTTCTCTTGTGTGGTGATACACCTTAAAGTAGATATATAGATTCCTAAGATCTTTGGACCTAGGGATAGGGAGACAAAGGAAGCAAGAGATAGGAGTGGAGAGTTTATTCTTAATGGAACTATTATGAGCAAACTACCTGTTTACTCCAGTCCACCCAATCCTCCAGGTGTTGCCACCCTTTTTCCTTTACCAGAATTAAAGTGAGGATTTTGGGGTGTCAGGGATACTGAGAAAGGTAGCTGGGAAAGAGAAAGGTTGAGGGTCCTCCAGACTGGTCACTGGCCTTTACCAAATGCATAATGGACTCCACTAACCTACTCTTACAAGCATACCCGGGCAGTCCCCACTCACCAGTCTTTAATGATCAGAGGCAATTTCCTCCTTATTTCTTTGTTTTCAGTGATATCAAGCTCTCAAGGAGGCATTCAGGCAAATCTGTGGAAAAGTAAAAAGCCAGGAGGCAAAGGAGATTAAGTCCTTAATAAAATAAGCACCGAAATTACTGACCCCAATATTTGCCTTGTCAGGGTCCATTTCCAATTTATTAATATATCTCATCTTGCAATACTTCATCAGTCATACCCTAGTATACTCTCACCAAAATATCCCTACCATTTCCTGCCCTGAAATCAAGTCTCAGCCACCTGCTTAGCCTACCCTCTCTTGTCACTCCAGGCATAGCCCATTTTAACACCAACCTCTATAGTTCCAGGCTGGTCTTGCCCTCTTTCCCTTATTTCCAGTGGCAAACAGCCCTACTGCAAGCTTATGTGAAGACCTAGAAATAGACAGAGAAAAGGAGGAAGGGTGAATGTTGAGTGTGACATCCTAGTATCTAAACACATAAATCCTCATTCAGATATAAACCTTTCTGGGTTTATAGACCCATTTTTTTAGCAGGCAGAGTTTAGAATTTCCCCAGCACTGAAATGGGTAGAGGAGAAAACAGAGATAGGAAAAAATAAAAAGGGGGGAAATAAGGTGAATTATTTCAAAACCACCTGTAGGGCTCTAGGATTCCCCAGCTCTCAAAGTCCACCATTTCCTTCACCAAGATGGCCAGGTAGCCATGGGTAGCTAGGAAACTGGAGGGTGATGAAAAGATGGAAGCCCTCAGATTCCAAGACTCCAGAATGATAGCTTACTGCCATCTGCTTCCCCTGAAACACATCTGTAGGCATCTCCAGAAAAAAAGATGTCATGTGTGGAGGGCTTTTACTTCTTCTAATTCATTATCTCTCTCTCTGCCCCCCACAAGGCTGAAAAATAATAGTAATTTTCTTTGATACAATTTGTATTTTGTCAGTGGTACCTCAAATAGGAATGAATAAATTGATATAAGTTTATTTTTTAAATTGGGCTTTGGTGCATGATTTAAATTACAAAGCTTGGTAAGAAAAAGCAGTAGAGGAAGTTCCCCAGGTAGCCCCACCCTGCATCCCAATCATTCAGCAGCACCTAAGAGTGTAATAAAATTCGTGCAGAATTTGAACGGTTCACACACTAACCTCCATAGATTCCGTGCGGTTTTCTCTTCCTCCCTCGCCTCACCACAAACAGTGCCACATCAAACTATTGTCCAAAAGACAAGAGAGAGTAAAGGCACTGAGTGCTTAGGCCAGCTCCCAGGCCACAGATCCTAATTCTCATTTTTCCAGATTCAGAAATCTGCTTGTCAAACGTCCCTCCCCCGCCTTCAGAGACACCACCCCTACCAACCCCGCTGTCCAGTCACTAAGGCCCACCATTTTCTTTGCAAACGCCACCGTGGCACGTCCCTTCTCTGAAATGAGCAGGACGCCAGAGGACATGTGCGGTCAGTTAATACGCTTCGAGAGGATGAACACCTCAATCTGCTATTTCTGTCTGAGAGACACTCCAGCAGCTGCCTTGTCAAAGCCCATGGTTCCCCTGAACAGATTTAGCTGGGTAGGGGGCTTGGGAGAATCAGAGACGAAGGCTCCTTGAGCCCAATCCAGCATACACATCCCCACAATCCCTCCTAGTACAGCCTCCCGATCGGCAAAGCTGCAGGGAGCCGGGCCTTGGAGCGCGGGCCCCCGGGCCTTACCTGCTCCGCTTTCCCCGGGCCCGATGCCAGCCCGCCGTGCGCTGGGCGGCGGGGAGCTGCTAGCCAGACGCGAGTGACGACTGCACCCAAGGCTGCGTCGCTCTGCAGCTCTGGGTCACGTGAGGGCCGCGCGTCATCGTTCGCCCTCCTCCTCACAACCCCCCACCGGTAGGCAAGCAGTCAACAAGACCCCCTTCCACAAGCCAACATACCCCTCCTCCCGTCTGTGCGCCATGCCCCAACACGCCCCGCCCTGTCACTCATCTCGATCCTCTCCAATCTGAGAGCCCACAAGTGGCATCACCATCTTGTGGTTGGAGTTTACCGGTGTCTGGTTACCAGGGAAGGTCCGTATCTCCCTCCCCTCCCCCACTCCCCTCCCCTCCCCCCCCCCCCCCCCCCCCCCGGCCCAACACCCACACTCAAGCCTGGGCTGTAGTCTTTTTGCATCCTTGAGGAATCTTTTCTTTTCCTCTCAGGCTACAAAAGCAATGCTTCCCACCCGCCCTCTCTCCAACCTGCCTGCCTTAGAACAGACAAAACCAAATGGCTGGGGAAGGAGGAAAGCAAATACAGACTTCACTTTATTTTTTATATGCCTCTTTTTTTCTGTTAACATTGGTTTATTAGAAATGGGGAAATGCAGTAAAGTCATTTTCTTTCGAAATAAATTCAAATTATAAAATTAACAAAAAGACTCATTCATTTGTTCACACTATTGTATGCCACTTAAGAAATATGTTTGCTAGTTGATCCAAAACATTTCAGAGCATTCACGGTGGACAAGTAATTATTGGAGTTGTATTTATTTGTTCTGGTCCTGGGCTTCAACTCAGATCCTAAGCACTATCTCTGAGCTTTTGTGCTCAAGGCACTCTACTATTTGCGCCACACTCCACTTCTGGACTTTGAATGGTTAATTGGAGATAAAAGTCTCACGGACTTTCCTCCTAGTCTGGCTTTAATCTTACCTCTCAGCCTCTTGAGTAGCTAGCATTACAGGTATGAGCTACCTGTGCCCACCAATAGTTGCATTTAAATGCATCCTAAACAAAGCCAATATGTTTTTCAATGTGATCTGTAAATTAATCTTTGGAAAGACGTTTAGATTTCTAAACTTGGTAATTTTACAAAATTTATAACTCTACACTTCTAGCAGAATTTACTGTCTCCTGTCAGATGTCACAGAACTTCAGAGATGACCTAGGATGATGGCATTAAGCCACCCAAACTCTTGAGGAACCCAATGACTTAAAATCTAATGACTTCAAAGATGAACACATTTTCCATGCATGGGCTTCTTTATTTAGATTTTACATTGGCATGTAATCAAATCAGTCTCAACACACCCATAAAAGGACCAACTGCTGTCCCATGGATGAAAAAAAGACATAACAGGTGGACATTTCATTCCATCATGCCACTGATGGTATCTGCCATTCATCTGTCACCATAGCAGTAGAGAGTGTTCAGCATTTTCCAGGGGCAATGAGGATAAGGGTCTGTGCATGACTGAAATGCTGTAAAACCCCCATCATCTCTCTCTGTTTCTCTGTCCCCCCCCCCCCACAGAAGTTGAAAGTACAGGATCCCAAATAGTCACTAAGAAAAGAGGCCTTTCCCCTCCCCACCTTCCACCCACATAAACCTGTCAGTATGATCACAGAATCAGGAATGAAATACCAGAAGTTAGCCCCCAGACACCCACCTGTGCCCCCCTGGCGCGTCATACTCTAAATATACATCCTCCAGGAAGCCTCTTTCTTAGAGTGTAGAAATATGACACCCCAGCTGGAGGCCCCCCTGTGAGGGGCCCCAATGTGGAGGAGGCCCTTTCCGGAGGTGAGCCAGAGAGCCCACAATGCCTTCCAACCATTCTAAAAGACTTTTCAGACCTCCAATTTACTTTCTCTACAAAAGAAAAAGATTTCATTGTTAATTCCATAGCAGTGTTAAAAAAGAGAAATCATAAACCTTACTATTTTGTAGTTTAAAAATTCTTTAAAAATCATTAATAAAATAACAGTAGAAAAATGTGCCAAACATGAACAGAATTGTTCACAGAAAAAAGAACACACAAATGACCCAAATCACAGACTAAAATGTGAAAAGATGCTCAACTTTAAAGAAATGCAAATGAAACACCTGTTCCTTATTGAGTCAGCTACAAGTTTGTTGAAATTTAAGGATATTTATTGAAATGTGGGAAAACGGACATTTCCACACTTTTCTAGAAGCAGATATTCTGATTTTTTTCTTATATAGAACAATTTAGTAAAAAATAATCTTTTAAATGATAAGTATAATATCTCATATTTTTTCCCCTGTCCTGGGGCTTGCACTCAGGGCCTGAGCACTGTCCCTGAGCTTCTTTTTTTCTCAAGGCTAGGAATCTACCATTAGAGCCACAGTGCCACTTCCAGCTTTTTCTGTCTATGTGGTACTGAGGAATCAAACCCAGGGCTTTATGCATGCTAGGCAAGCACTCTACCACTAAACCACATTCCTGGCCCTATTTCATAAATCTTTAATCCAGGAATTCTATTCCTTGATTTTCAGCTAAACTACATAAATTAAAGATTTTCACAAAGATACTAGAATATACTACAATATACTGGGATAGTTCTTGCTGTTCTTTTCAAGGTTAAAAACAACCAAAGCAACACAAAATAGCCATCAATGAGAGAAAAACTAAATAAAATGTTAGATTTATATAATAAAACTAATAAAAGGAAGAATTAAGTGTATGTATCCTGACAGAAAGCCAGTTGGGATATTTTGTTTTTTGCTGTTTATTTTCCATAATTACTTCCAAATTCCACAAGGATATATTCTACTACAAAACTCAAACCCAGCACTATTTTAACTTCACTATCCTCATTCCGAATAATTGTTAACTTAGTCTCTTTCTTGTATAGGACTTCTAGAATTCATTTCTACTAGCATTGTATCCCTTGACTGAACTTCATCCATTTCCTCTCCTTTCTGTTTTCCTCAGCCTCTGATGAGCACTGCTTGGTTCTCAACTTTGACCAGATCTACTTTTTAGATTCTGTGTATGAGTGAGATTATGTGGCAGTTGTTTTCCTTTGTCTGGTTTCTTTCACTTAATATTCTCTAGGTTGGTCTATGTTGTCACAAATGACAGAATTTCATCATTTAAGCATTGAATAATAAATAATCCCTGCATATATGTACTTTATTTTTATCCATTATCCACTGGTAGGCATTCAAGTTTATTTGCTATCTTGGTTATTACGAATAGTGAGTGTTTCAGTAAACATAAAAGGTTCTTTGACATTCTATTCTTTTTTTTTTTCTTTTTTAAATTGCTGGTCCTGGGCTTGAACTCAGGGACTGGGCTCTGGTTCTGAGCCTCTATGAGCTCAATGCTAGCGCTCTACTGTTATAAGGTAAATCATCCCAGAAGCCACATTTAAAAATATAGAATAGGGCTGGGAAGGTGGCTCAGTGGTAAAGCCTTGCATGCATGAGGTCCTGGGTTCGATTCCTCAGCACCACATAAGCAAAAAGAAAAAAGATGGAAGTGGCGCTGTGGCTCAAGTGGTAGAGTGCTAGCCTTGAGCTGAAGAGCTGAGGGACAGCGTCCAGGCCCAGAGTTCAGGCCCCACGACCGGACCCCCCAAAAAAATAAAAAAAAATATAGAATAGTGGTGTCTTTATTATACAATTAACAGGCTGGAGGCCACCAGTTGTTACAAAGGCCTGTAGCACGCAAATACACATAACACAGCTAGGGAACATGCTAAAGAGAAAAGAAATAACAAAAACAATACCAACAAGCCAACTCAGATCCAATGAGAGTTGAATTGGGACTCCATGATGACTGGAGACAAGCCAGGAGACAGGACATAGGACACCATCACAGAGACACACATGCCATAGAGTCCGGTGACTAGGCTGGTCCTGGCCTAAATAGGTTGGCGCAGGGGGCAGATCCTCAGGAAATTCCCAGTCCCAGGCACTGGGACTGACAGATTCAGTAACCTATCAGCCAAGTGCCTGCCCCTGCCTCCTGGGGTCCAGGCACACCTGAGAGGCAAGTGATTGGGGGCGGGTCCCTTACCCCAGCATGAAGACAAGATGCCAGACCCTACCATCCACCATGTGGCCAGTATGGCGCCGGCCAGACCTGGCCTCTTTACTTCACTACCACTTGAGCCACAGTGCCACTTCTGGCTTTTTCTGAGCAGTTTATTGGAGATAAGAGTTTCATGGACTTTACTGACTGGGCTAGCTTTGAACCACAATCCTCAAATATCAGCCTCCTGAGTAGCTAGCATTACAGACATGAGCAATTGGTGCCCAGCAACATTCCATTTCTTTTTTACATATACTCTGTAGTTGGATTGATGAATCATATGGTAGTTCTATTTTTAGTTTTTTGAGGAACCTCTATAATGTTTTCCATAATAGATGTACCAATTTGCATTCCCACCAACAATGTATCTAATTCTTCTTTTCCTTTTCTTTTCTTTTTTTGGGGAGAGGTGTTAAAAGCCATTCTAACTAGGATGAGGTATATTTTCTGGTTTTGACTCCCATTTTCCTGGTAGTGAAGTTCAGCTTTTTTCATATTCATGTTGGCCATTTGTGTGACTTCTCTGTAGAAATGTCTATTCAGGTCTTTTGCCCATTGGAGCCACAAAAGATCCTGAATAGCCAAAGCAATCTTGAACAAAAATAACAAAACTGGAGATATTATACTCAGTTTAAATATACTACACAACTGTAGTAACCAAAGTGACATTAAAGTATTTGGCACTTTAATGCTAAAGTATTTGGCATAAAAACAGACATGTAAACTAATGCAAAAGAATAGAGTACACAGAAATCAATCCATAATAACCAACTGATTTTTCACAAAAGTGCCAGGGTTACATAAAAGGGAAAAGTTTCAGGAGAGGAACACAAAGCCATAGTGCCTATGTGCATCTAATCATACCAAATAATGTCTATCAAAATGAGCTCTAGGAAATGGGAATATGAGAGGTTTTTGTTGGTTTCTCTTTGCTTTGTTTATCAGTCTTTGGGAAGGTAAGGGGAGGCACAGAAATGGAGGGATAAGGGGTAAATAAATGCAG